GGGTGTCCCTAACTCCTCCGCAGCCCACAACCATAGCAGAGGACCTTAAAGCTCAAGGGAGCATAGGGCACCGCGATGCCAGAGGGGAAGGGAAAGGTCTGGCAGGGGCGGACTGAGGGGTAGGGATGGTGGAGGTGCTGAAAGGGGGAAGATCCAAGGACTCTGGAGCTGAAGGGGAGGGGAAAAGTAATAGAAGATGATGGGGGAGGTTTGCCAAGACAGGTCTTCGAGGCCCTGGGCAAAGAAGGAAAGGCCATCGTTGAGGGGAGCAGTAGTCTCTGAAAAGTTTCTATGGGAAAGGTATTGTTTTTATCTGTATCAACCAACCAACCAAACAAACAAACAAGCAACCCAGCATCCATTGTTTGGATGAGATTTTGCTGAAGCAGGATGCCCTTCACAGAAAGAGACAATTTGGGAAGATCCTAAGTTCCTCCAAAGAGGTGAGAAGTTTAAGCTGTGAACTGTGGCCATTTTTGAATAAACCTGGTTGAATTCGCACCATAATGGCAAAGCATGCAGCCCCCAGCTGAGGGGCATGAGGGGCAACAGTTGACTGACACTTCATGATAATGAAAGGAACAGCTGTCAGTGCCAGAGGCCTCCGGACCAGAACCCAAGCTAGGATTTCCTGAGTTTTTAACCAAAAAAAAAAAAAAGACAGAAAACAGAAGGAAAAGACAAAAATGAAAGAAAACTAAAGTCAAGTCCTTAACTCTGCTACAACCAGAAAATGTCTGGGACACTAGACGGGGAGTCATGACTCACCACAGCTGATCCCGATTTCCCCAGCCAGGAACAGGCATCAAGATTCCTATAAGGTGGCGTTAACACTCCAGGGAAGAGCGCAGGAGCTGAGGGCACCGTCGATGTTCCTTCTGCACCACGGCATCATGACTGTTAAAGAAAAAGAGTCATCTGGACATTAATGTGGAAAAGCTCTGTTGAGGGAATTTTGTGATTGGAGGAGAGAAAAATGTTCAAAGATGTTCAAAGCCTGAACCAGCAATGTGTCCAGGAGGGACGGGTGAGTAAAGCCTTTAAATGCAGAGGCACTGGGCTAGGTGGCTGTGGAAGGAAGAGGGTGCTGGGAGGGGTGGTGAGAGGGAGTTTTTGGAACCTGACAAACATCATCACATGCTGTGACAACAGCAAAGTGGAGGCAGGAAATGTTGGTTTGTGGGTTAGGCCCACAGGCAACATCTTCACCTGGGAGGGGGTAGGCAAGGTAAAGAGTGAGAAATTCACACAGAGCTGGGGGCTTCGTGGTCCTGGCAGACTGCCAAAGGTTGTGTGAAGTACAGTGTCTGATTAACTTTATCAGCACCTAAAACTAGCCTGGAGAGGGCCCTTTATGAAGAGAAGTGTTAGAAAAAGTTTGGATTATTTGAAATGTTATGAACAACAAGATGCATGGAAACCATGGTCAAATCTGAAATTTCCCTAGGTTAAATTTGTGTGAGTAAAAGTTTATTAGTGTAAGTTTTTTTTTTAAAAAAAGTTGTATTTTGCATATGAAGGAGCCATAAAATTGTGACTGTTTTCACTACCCACAATACGTCCCTATGTGTCAGAGTCCTGTTGTCTCTTTTCCTAACACCAGATAACAGAGTGATGTTGTCAGTAATGATTTCAGTTATGCTTTTAAATATTAATTTGGTTGCAACTTTACTTCTTTAATTTAAACCAGTATATTTTAGGTGGTGGTTTACTCTTGGGGAATCACATAACTTATGAAGTTTTGTTGATCTACTGATGCTTAGAAGTTACACCAGATTTATGGAATCTCTTTACTGGATGATTTTGACATGCTTTTGGTAAATTCTAATGATGGGCTAGCCTCAGATGGTATCTAATGTCTCTTGATTTTTAAAATAAGTTATATATGGAAATTTTTGTATTATGATGATGAAACACACCCATGTTCATAAATTAGATATGCCATTCACTCTTTGAAAATATTGTGAAACATTGTGATTATAGACAATTTGTGTAAAATTTTTGGGCTCATTTTATTTTGTTTTGTATGTCACAGAATCAATCAGATGTGCTTGTCAACTGCGTGAATCTTGAAATGAACTACTCAGATCATTCACTTTTGAAAAGGCATTTTTAGATTTGTCATCTACAGACAGACTTTTTTGGAGTTGGTTTTTGTTTGTTTGTTTGTTTTATGAAATCCTGGAAGTCAGCTGCTGGTCAGAGTGTTCCACCTTCAACAAAGACGATGTCGAGTTGGTTTTTGTTTGTTTGTTTGTTTTATGAAATCCTGGAAGTCAGCTGCTGGTCAGAGTGTTCCACCTTCAACAAAGACGATGTCTTAGAGTCTCGTAGAAAGAACTAAGCAGACCCTCTGGGGTGCAGAGCCCTGATGGCATTGCCTAAATTTGATGAGACTCAGACTGATCATTGCAATGAGCAAGAAGTTCCAGACATCTAGCTGGGAAGCAAATGTACTCATGAGACAACTATTTCAAGATCAAATGGAAGAAGAATTAAATCCAGCAGTTTCCCCACCTCGTCCATGGGAGATATGTTTCCAGAACCACAGTGGACACCTGAAAATGCATACAATACTGAACCCTATCATTTAACACCTTTGCATGTGTGCTGTGGCCTAACTTTGGCAGTTTGAGGTGTGACAGCAAAACCATTACGAGTTTCTTCATTTCCAGATTCTTCTGCATCTGGGTTTGTTTTATGTATATCTTAGCAACCTTGGAATATACTTTATTTTCTTTCCTTTCAAGTGGAGAACTTTGACCTTTAAGTTTAAGGAAACACTTTACAGATTTTTTTTTTTCTAATCATACATCCTGGACCTACAATTTCTAGCATCGATACTCTTGAGATTTGGAGACTTTAATAAGCAAAATAATGGTCACTTGAACACAAGCACCATGTGACCATTGATCTGATAACCATGATGCCTACTAAGTGACTAATGGAAACGTGATATGTTCAACATTTCTAGAGATTAAAGCATCTGAGTATATTATTATCAAAACTTTTTGAAAAAAATGGTTAATATTATAATATTTCTGTGTTATATGGAAGTCCTTTTCATGTTGAGCTACAACATTTGACTTTAAATCAAATCTCATACCTTACAAGGAGGCTATTATCATATATTGGACATCTTACATACCTGTGATTTGACATGTGTTTGTATCTGAGGGCTTGATATGCTGTGTGTCGGAGCTTCGCCTAAATATTTTGCTGAAATTTGTTAAAGTTAAAGATGTGAATGTTTAATTCATGTGAAGTGACCAGTAATTGCTGCCTTTTACACAAGTTGGTGCATTGCATCTGGACCTTAAACACACAAAATGGTCAGGAAAATCTGGCACTTCTGCTGCTTACATTTGATGCCATTTGGAGTGGGTAAAAACCCTGCTATTTGCAATTTGCTTTCCATCTGTTTGTTTTCACCAAGTGGGCACTAGCTACTTCAAATTTTAAGTGCATTTGTATTCCAGGTAAGCTTTGCTTAAGAACCTTTCCTTTTAAACCTCTTTGTTGCTGAGATGTGATGAAAAAGGTTTGTCCACTGACTGCTAGCAGTCGATCATTTCCCTTACAACTTGGGACCAAATGAGGTCAACAACTGGGACAGGTTCATCCTGGCAATGTTTTTAGAGAAAGAGGGGGAGAAGTTGCTAAAATCAAAATGGATTCACTTTTGTCCATCTTACCAAAAAGACAATAAAACTGGGAGGTTTTCGAGGAAGCGTTCTTATGCATGATTGCCTGACACCTGACACCCTGTATTTAGGACAAGTTTATGATTGTGTGTTTTTAATTCTGTCATTACCCTGCTGCGTGACTATCATTTCTGAGTAAAGAAAGAAGTGTTTTAAAAAGATGCTTTAAACGGAACATTTTGGTTTAAAATTCTGTAAGGAATCAGCAGTCAATACTGGAGCAGGCACTACTGAAGGGGCGCCTTTGGACTTGAAGTCACATTTCCCTTCAGGAGCCCTGGATGCAACTGACAGTAGGCAACTGACTAATTAGCTACACATGGCTCTTCCAGGAATGCTGGAGACACAACCAGACCCCTGAACAGGGTCTGTCAAATAAGGAGCTGGACTCTAAAGGGCCTGCTGTATGGGCGAATAAGACATGGGAAGAACAAGTCTCAACTGCAAATGACTCTGAAATGGGCTAAAATTCAGCCCGTTAAAAATTCTGTTCAGGAGACCTTTTCAGCCATATGTATTATGTACTTTGTCTCCTTACTTTAAATCTTGAAAAAATGTTCAAATAATTAATAGTGTGTAGAAATTTCCTTTTTCTAGGTCCAGATTTCCATCAGACAAAGCTCTATATGTATTCACTTCTGGGATAGAGTGCTACTCAAAACCTGGAAAGAACAAGAACCTGGCCACCCATATGTGAGAGGTGGACTGGTCCTTATGCATGGGAGCTGCACCACAGCAACAGAGAACTTCTTCTCCATAAAAAGGATGAGTAACTTTGAGCTTTTGCTTCCTACTCTCATGCAATCTCCTCCATACCAAATATAGCATTGTTAAAATGGGGCTCTCTATTATTTATGCCAGACAGGAAAAAAATAACAACAAAGGTTATTTGATATCTTTGATAGAAATCTAAAGAACTGTTTTTACAGTGCTTATAGGCTATGATATTTCCATTTCAATTTTGGTTCTTGAACAATTTGGCTGAATTTGGAAATTGGATGAAGGGGTCTGCCAGTTAGTATCAAATGACTAGCAAAGAGCATTGAAGGTTTAACAGGAGCCTCTGCTAAAATGGGAAACAAATTCGAGGAAGGAAAAATTGGTAAGAAATCAGCATTTCATACTATGTTTAATAACTGTGGTGTCTCCACTTGCAAGTATTTAACCTGTACACTAAGCTAGGGACTTTGAGTAAAAAGATAAAAGGAAGCAGAAACATTTATAGTATGAGCTGATGTCAGATTAGCTATCTGGCTTAAATTACAAGCCTGTCCTTTAGGGAAAATTTGTTTGAAGAGTACTTATTTGGTCTCTCCTCATCCCAGCCCTCCATTTTTTTAAAAACACAAATATACCTTAAACAGTTGCTGGAATTCAAGTCCTATCAGGTCGGGTGGTTCCATTCCATTTCCCCTGCAGCGCCCCCTCTCAGCAGGAAGTAGTCAGATAGGCGACATCGACCCCAATCCCCTAAGACTCTGGAATGGACACCTGACACTAGGAACTGAAACCCAGAACTGAGGATATTTTTTTCATTACTGGGAGTTTATAATTGCTCATTACAGAGAATTTGGCAATAGTTAAGACTGCGGTCACATCTACCCTGTAGCCTGCTTATTTTTGTAATATGTAACTAGTCAGTGACAAGATAGCCCAGGAAAATTATAATCTTTGTTTTTGAGATTTATAGAATTGAAAAATCTCTCATGACTAGGTGATTTGGATCAGCTTCTGTGAGAAGGTGCCCATCAGGTATCTCCATAAGCTACTCTTAAATCATCTTCTGGAAAAGAAAGGCCTTGTGACAAGAGCCCCTCTAACTTCTCTCCGAGCTGCCTTTTGGAACAGACTTGTTCCTCAACACCTTGTCTCTCAACTCAACTGGCCTGTCATGGGGCAGGTAGTCCAGTAGCAACAATTCCATAGACTGTACTCATTTCTTATAATGAGAAATGAGACATTTATCTTTTTCTTTCTGACTTGCCTTTCCAAAATTCTTACTGAATTTTCTTTTTTTTCTGGGAATACTTTGATTTTCGTAGATTTGCATAGACAGTCTGTCCTCCTTGTTAACAGGACAGCATTAGAAACAATGGTAAGACAATCAATGTCTTGCCTGGGATATCTGTAGGAGGAGGATGCTTATTTAGTCAGATATGAGCAGACAAGTTCAAAAATAAGACTGATTTATGG